CAACCCGTTTGGTCCCCAGAAAGATCATTCCTGAGACTGTGGGATCTGTGCCAAAGGACAGTTGTGGGAGTTAGCGGGCTGGAGTGATGTGGGGCAAATGGATGAAATGGACCCCTTTCCTCAGTGGATTGTTCCAGAGGGTAGCCATGTCGGTTTGCAGTAGGACAGCTCCAGTTGAGTCCAGTAGCATCTCAGAAACCAACAGGATTTAGGAGGTCTAATCTTTCTAGATCTCAAAACTCCCTCCATCAGATATGGATCGGGAGAGAGATCCCTGGGTCCTCGTTTCCCACTGGGTCTCCATTCCAACTCGTATCTGAGGAAGGGCACTTTGATTCTTGAAAGCTTATACCCCCAAAATCTGGTTGGTCCCTAAGATGCCACTGGACTTGAACCAAACCTGAGAGCCAGTTTGGTGTAGTGGTTAAGTGTTCGGACTCTAATCTGGGAGAACCGGGTTTGATTCCCCACTCCTCCACTTGCACCTGCTGATGTGACCTTGGGCAAGCTGTAGTTCTGACAAGAGCTGTCCTTGAAAAAGAGCAGTTTCTGTCAAGAGCTCTCTCAGCCCCACCTGCCTCACAGGGTGCCTGTGGTGGGGAGGAGAAGGGAAAGGAGTTTGTAAGCTGCTCTGAGACTCCCTTGGGTAGTGAAGGGCGGGGTATGAATCCAATCTCTTCCTCATCTTCTCTTCTTCAGTGGTCACATGGAAGAGGAGCAATTTCACCCCTTTATTTTTCCTCACACGCCCCCCTCTAACCCGCATGCCTGTTCCTCCATGCAGGACCCTCTGCTCTGGTAATGATCTTTGGGGGGGGGTCCAAAAGGGGCTGCAGGAATGAAGAGGCATGTGGGGAAGCACCGCATTCCATGCACGGAGGAGTAGCACATGGCCCATTCTTGGGACCCAGCACGAGGATATAGTGGATCATAGCTGTTTTCATTTATGTAGTGCCGATCCCTCCTATTCCAAATGGGAGGTTGGAGGTCACTGTGGCCTGCCCGAAGCCACCTTCACGAGTTTATGACGGAGCTGAGATTTGGCCCATTGCTGGAGACTTGCCGTTTCTCAAGTTATTTCCGCTGAAATAAAGCTGGCCCCTGCTGAGGTGCCGGCGGTTTGGCTTCCTATGCAAAGCCGGTGTCACGGGGAATGCAGGGATCCCTGCGTCAAGGACGATTACTCTTAATAGGATTGGCTGCTTAACAGGCCGTTGCCATGTCCATTGCAAAACCTTCCCGGTGTTTACTTAACAGAAGAATATGGACCTCGCTTGCCACCTGTTTCTCCTTCTCCTTCTCCTTTTCTCCCATGGGATGAGCCTGGTGGGTTCGTCTTGCATCCCAGGATGCTCTTGCGCCAACGAGCACTTTGGAAGGTAAGCCATGGCGACGTTTTAGTAATGCTATAGAAAGCTGTCTTCGGAGGCCTCTCTTTCCGATGGGTCTTTATATCAAATGGGAGCAGATAGGCATAGTCGAGCCCGATCTCCATCAGATCTCAGAAGCGAAGCAGGATCGGTACTTGGATAGGAGACCCCCAAGGAAGACTCTGCAGAGGAATGGCCAACCCACCCTCTGCTTCTCACTGGCCTCGAAAGCCCCTGGCTGGGTTCACTGTAAGTCAGCTGTGACTTGACGGCACTGAACACAAACACATCAGATAGGCAAATGTTTAGAAGGGGGAGGTGCCAGAAAAAATGGATCACAAAATAAAAGGGACTGGTTAGCCACAACAAAGTGCAAGCTTATGCTGCCTTACGTCAGTGTACGTGCTGATGAACCAAATGCATGTGCATAGGATTGGGATGCATATTGGTTGTTGTTTGTTGTTCAGTCGCACAGTTGAGTCCGACTCTTTGCAACCCCATGGACCAGATCACGCCAGGCCTTCTGGTCTTCCACTGTCATCTGAAGTTTGCTCAACTTCATGTTTGTTGCATCGATGACACTGTCTAACCATCTCATCCTTTGCCGTCCCCGTCTTCTTTGACCTTCACTCTTTCTCTTTCCCAGATGCATATTTATTGCATTAAAGATAGCAGTGCACTTGGGCCGAATGATGCTTTGTGGCTTCTGTCTTGCCTAAAATGTCTGCATGTGGAAGGCTTTCTGTCTGTGGAATGGGACTTCCCCGCTTCCCCCCACCTGCTGCCGCCCAATAGGACCCCTAGGAATAGCTTGGTGGGAACAAAAGTTCTGCCGTGGGAAGAGGGACCAGCCAGCACCCCCTCCTTCCGCTTGCAGAACTCCGAGGCAGGATCCAAGTCAGTAATTCAAACACTTAAAAAAATTAGAAGTTATTTTTTTTTAGTATAAGGGCATGACTACTTTCGTGAAATACTGAGACTGTTGGGGCATAACGTTAATAACTCCCTTAATTTACTTCTGTCTGGGATTTACGACTAAAACCGGAAAATAAATCTGCTTTATTGTCACAGTCCCTGCACAGAAAAAGCCTAATTTGTAGTTATTCCATGGCACAGTTCCATTTATTAATTAGAACCAAAAGAATTGGAATTTGTGACTTAGAATCAAATATTAATGTGTGAATTTTATTTATTTATTAAACCTACAACGGATTAATCAATGAGAATCAACGATAAACTCTATATTCTGTGTGTGTGTTAAGTGCCGTCAAGTTGCTTCTAACTTAACGGCGATCCTATGAGTTAATGACCTCCAAAATATCAAGTTGCTTCCAATTTATGGTAATCCTATGAACTAATCACCTCCAAAACTTCCTATCATTAACAGCATTGCTCAGGCCTTACAAACTGATTGATTGCATCAATCCATCCCTTGTTGGGTCTTCCTCTTTTCCGACTGCCTTTAACTTTTCCTAGCATTATTGTTTTTTCCAGTGACTCTTTTATCTTCTCATAAGGTGACCAGCACTCCCTCTAAGCCAGGGGTGTTGAACTCATTTGTTACGAGGGCCGGATCTGACATAAAGGAGACCTTGTTGGGCCGGGCCATGTGTGTAAAAAAATGTAATCCCAGGTAGTGGAAATATAAACTTTATAAAGGACACAAACACAAAGATTTTTTTTAACTTAAAATAAAAACATGCTTAAAACATTAGCTCTGTAAACTGCAAACCTACTTTCGATTTATTGACATTGACCACAGAAATCTCATGCTCAGAGTTCCGAGTCTAGAACCCAGATTAAAACATGAAATGGCTGAGTGATTAAGGGAGTCTGGCGAAGCAAGTTATGATGCAGCAGCAGCAGCAGTAGAACTGAAAGCAGGAGATGGCCAGTTCCACTGCGGGCCTGATGGAAGCCCTCCAGGGGGCCTGATCCAGCCCCTGGGCCGCATGTTTGACACCCCTGCTCTATGCGGTGGAGTCTTGTGAGCAAAAAAATCTACTTTTTGAGCTGCTGTCTTTAAAGTTGTGAGTGAGTGATTTGGCTACTGCATAAATTAGTTTGTTCTGGAGCCATCCTTCCTGAGCGAAGACAAAAATGTGAACTGGAGGCTAAAAAAACTGTGAGCTAGCTCACGCTAACTCAGCTTAAAGGGAACACTGAAGGTGACCAGAGTAGAAAATCCTCCATTTAGTCATTTTAGATTCTAGGAAGAGTTCCGGCATGGTTTGGTCTGGATGCTCCATATTACCAGTGCCGATTTTTTTTCTCCCTAGGAGCTTGTTTTGCATCTCTGCATCCTTGGAAATGATCCTGGAAGGCATCCCTCAAGATATCAAGAAAATCAGAATAGAAAACTCTCACCTAACAGAACTGCCTCACGGGGCATTCTCCAATGTCAGTGCCTTGGAATCTCTTTGGCTGAACTTTAATAACATCACGGTCATCCACCTCAAAAGCCTGGAGTACCTCAAGGATTTGATTGAGCTGAGGTTGCAAGGGAACAAGCTGAGTTCAGTACCATGGACAGCGTTCCAGGCGACCCCAGCGCTAAACATCCTGGACCTGAAGCACAACAGACTCGATGTCCTTCCTGAACACGCCCTCCGCTACCTGCCGAACCTGACCTACTTAGACTTGTCTTCCAATCAGTTTACGGTCATCTCCAGGGATGTTTTCAATAACTGGCCCGTGTACCAAAAATTTCAACATCCGGAGAAGAAAATGGAAGCTGCATCGAATGCAGTGCTAGCCTTGCATGATAACCCGTGGATATGCGACTGCCGCCTGCGGGGGTTTGTCCAGCTCATCCGGTCCATTAGCCCACCCCTAATTCTGATGAATTCCTACTTAACTTGTTTGAGTCCCATGGTTAGGGAAGGAAAATACTTTCATGAAGTGGAACTGAACAGCTGCACGAAGCCTGTGGTTTCAGCCACCGAGCCCAATGTTACCGTAGCTGTTGGGCTAAATGTTACTTTGACCTGTCTAGTGCATACCAGACCCTCCTCAGCAATCCGGTGGACTTATACGCTGAAACATCTACGGGCATTTAATGGTAAGCATTATTTCACAGCAAGTGATTTCACGAGAAGCCCATGGTCCATATTTTATGCATTCCTTCTTTCTTGGGACTCTGATCTTCTATTAACAATAAGTTGATCCAGGGCTATTTTTGGGCAGGAACGCACAGGAACGGAGTTCCGGCTGGCTCCCGAGTTGGCCATGCCCAGCAGGAACTCATTAGCATAATAGCCCACACCCAACAGCAGGAACTCATTAGGACTGGCTACATTAAGGGTGTGTGGCCTAACATGCAAAGGGTTCCTGCTACAAAAAAAAAGCCCTGGGTTTTGACAACAAAAAAGGTAAACAGAATAAGAAGCAAAAGGTGAGTGTGGCTGGATGACCACACTTCTGGTAATGTGAAGTGTGGCATAATATGCTAATGAGCTGCTCTGTCAGGGGTGTGGCCTAATATGCTAATGCATTTCTACTGTTAGGTGTGGCCTGTTATGCTAATGAGTTCCTGCTGTGCTTTTTCTACAAAAAAAGCCCTGAGTTGATCTAGGAACCAGTAAAGATGAATACCCTTGCCATTCATGGATTTGTGACTTATGATTTCACTTATCCTCAGTCTGTGGCCTGACCACATGATATGATTACTCCAGAGCACATGACCCCTACACATGTTGGCGGGGGAGAGCAGACATGAGCCTGCTCTCAGTAGCTCAGTGGCAGAGCATCTGCTTTGCCTGCAGGAGGGTCTAGGTTCAACCCCCGCATCTCCAGTTAAAGGATCTGACAGTAGGTGATGTGAAAGACCTCTGCCTGAGACCTTGGAGAGCTACGTCCAGTCAGAGGAGACCATACTGACTCTGATGGGCCAAGGGTGTGATTCAGTATAAGGCAGCTTCTTGTATTTCATGCGTGTTTCATGCATGCCCAGCACCTGGCTGTTTCACAATCTTGTATTTGTCAGAACTGTGTCTAGGCATTTTTTAAAAAATTTTTATTGCTACTCCCAAACAGAAAAGAAACAGAAAATATAGCAACCATGTTGGCAAGTCTATACATGGTTTCCAAATATATATAAAACATGGCCCTAGGCAATAGCCGTTTTTATGTCATATGTTCAAATGTTGATAGGGTTGTAAGGTTCTCAAGGGAAAGATTATGCTGGGAAAGATTGAAGGTCAAAGAAGACGCGGGACGGCAAAGGGTGAGATGGCTAGACAGTGTCACAGATGCAACGAACATGAAGTTGAGCCAACTTCAGAGGACAGCGGAAGACAGGAGGGCCTGGCGTGATCTGGTCCATGGGGTCACAAAGAGTCGGACTCGACTGTGCGACTGAACAACAACAACAACAACAAGGTTCTCAATCCACAGGAGGTGGGCTTACAGGAGGCGGGCATTTATCTCTCCAGTGTTGTCATATTTAGCAACAGTAAGGGCACGGGAGCTGACCTGGTTTGCCCAGGCTAGCCCAATCTCTTCAGATCTTGGAAGCTGAGCTGGGTCAGCCGTGGTCACTATTTGGAAGGGAGACCAGCAAGGAAGTCCAGGGTTGCTATGCAGAGGCAGGCAATGGCAAACCACCTCTGAATGCCTCTTGCCTTGAAAACCCCACGAGGTTGTCGTAAATCGGCTGTGGCTTGATGACAGCCTCCAGGAGACAGTCTACGCATGGAGGAAGTATTTGTACGAGATGAGTCATATGACGCCCACCTCAACATTCTGGTCAGGTGACTCATGTGACCGCCTCATCCGCCAGGTCCAGGTGACCCACAGCACTTCCTGCCTCATCTGCCTGGCCAAGCAACTCGCATGTCGGTGCCCAGCTGCAGCATTGCCATGTGACTGGCCCAGGCTGGGTGGGTGAGAAGGCCACTGCTGAACGGCTTGATCAGCAGTGCTGTGGTCAAGTTGGGCATCGTGTGAGACACACACCTGGGCCTGGCTTCCCTGCATGGGGGCTGGGGGTGGTCCTTTCCAGGGCCATTCTGAAGGCAACTGATTCCCTGCCGCCCAGCACTTGTAGATTTTCAGAAATGGAACTCCCGCAAATGGTGAATGTCTACAGTTTGAGCTGGTTTAGTTGGCTGGACTCAACGGGGCTAAGTGGTCAGTCCAAGGACTGAGAGCCGGCATGGTGCAGTGGTGGAAATGTAGGACGCTTGCCAAGTGAGTCACTCTAACCTACCTCATAGGGATGTTGTTCATGTGAGGATGAAATGGAGTAGGGGAGCATAATGTTGCAAGCCACTTTGGTTCCCCCATTGCAGAGAAAAGCAATCAGTTTCTAAATCAGTCAATTGATGGACTTAAGATACTTTTATTTCTCTTGGCTGTTAATGGTAAGGAAGTCACACTGACTGTAGTTAGATTTATTCTTTCTGCGCTTAAAATTAAGAGCTTGTATGTATCATCTAAGGAGCTGCGGTAGCTCAAGTGGTTAAGACGCTGAACTGCAGGCTGTGGAAGGTCAGTAGTTCAGCAGTTTGAGACCCGGGTGCCACATGACCGAGTGAGCTCCCGTCTCTAGTTCCAGCTCCTGCCAACCTAGCAGTTCGAAAGCAAGAAATTGCAAGTTGATCAATAGGTACCACTTCGGTGGGCAGGTAACAGCGTCCCGTGCGCCTTGGTGTTTAGTCATGCCGGCCACATGACCACGGAAACGTCTTCGGACAGCGCTGGCTCTTCGGCTTTGAAACGGAGATGAGCACCGCAACCCTAGAGTCGGATTTGACTGGCATTCGAGCAAGGGAACCTTTAACTTTACCTTAAATAGGTACCACTTCGGTGGGAAGGTAACAACAAAACGCGTTCCGTGTGCCTTGGTGTTTAGTCATGCCGGCCACATGACCACGGAAACGTCTTCAGACAGCGCTGGCTCTTCGGCTTTGAAACAGAGATGAGCACCGCAACCCTAGAGTCGGATTTGACTGGCTTTCGAGCAAGGGAACCTTTACCTTTACCTTTTATGTATCATCTAAACCCAGGGATTATTTTTTTAAAAAAAAAATTAATAATTCGGGACTTTATTTTTGATTCTGCCACTTTATTTATTTATTTATTTATTTATTTATTTATTTATTTATTTATTTGTTGTTTCGATTTATATCCCACCCTTCCCACAAACAGGTTCAGGGCCTCTTACAGCAAGGCGCTCGAATTTCTGAACAGGGCTTATGACCAAGTACTTAACTTCTTACGTAAATAAGGCTACTGATTGCTGAATAGAACAATTGACTGAGTCTAGGATATCAGTCACATGAGCTGCAGTCCTAATACTCACCTGGGAATAAGCTCCATTGAATAAAACATGCCTTCCTTCTAAAGTGCATAGGATTATACCGTTGGCGTGTCACAGGACTAGAAGCCAACCGCATTCTGCTAAACTTAAGGAATCACATTGATTCAGGAGGAGGGAGGCAGAGATTTCCACAAACAATCCTTCGTTGGATATCATCGTTATGGTAGCAGGACAGGAGACTGATAAATCTGAGTGTATTAGGCTTGGACAGAGAAGCAGAGCCTCACAGGTTTTCTTATGGCTCCTGGAAGGTGGCATTCTTCAAGATGCAACGCAGCTGCAGCCTCTAAGTTTGAAAAGCAATCGCTATAACCATAACCAACTTCAGTTTCATCCCATTGATTTTAATTAAAGTAAAGGTAAAGGTTCCCTTGCTCGAAAGCCAGTCGAGTCTGACTCTAGGGTTGCGGTGCTCATCTCCGTTTCCAAGCCTAAGAACCAGCGCTGTCCGAAGACATTCCCGTGGTCATGTGGCCAGCATGACTAAACACCACGGCGCACGGAACGCTGTTACCTTCCCACCGAAGTGGTACCTATTGATCTACTTGCAATTTCTTGCTTTCGAACTGCTAGGTTGGCAGGAGCTGGAACTAGAGACGGGAGCTCACTCCATCATGCAGCAACCCGGGTCTCGAACTGCTGAACTACTGACCTTCCACAGCCTGCAGTTCAGCATTTTAACCACTTGAGCCACCGCAGCTCCTATGATTTTAATTAGACTGATCTTAATTAATTGGGTGCATTGTTGGTCGCACCCAAAGACCTTCATAATTTGCTGTTTCCTTTCTTAGGTTTTGATCTATTGATTATCAGATCTATTCACCCTTCATCAGGGACTTTAATTAATTAATTAATTAATTGTATTCTATTTATGTATATATGGTGGTTCTGGAGTATAATCCAGCACAATGTATCCATGGCTAAACCTAGGTGATTGAATTAGTAACACAGAAAGTCTATGCAGAGTTCCTCTGGTCTGAGTCCATTAAAATCAGGGTCCTTAGACTAGAAAAAATTCTTATTTTATTGTTATTTAGTTAATTCATTTGTACCCCACTTTTCCCCCAGTGGGGACCCCTAGAATGGCTTACATCCTTCTCCTCTCCATTATTTTATCCTCACAACAACCCTGTGAGGTAGGTTAAGCTGGGGGAGTGTAACTGGCCCAAGGTCTCCCAGCGGGCTTCCATGGCATGAGTGGGGACTCAAACTGAGATCTCCCGGACATTAGACACTCTTAACCCCTATGCTGCACTGGCACGGCTAAGTCGATCGTTTTCCATTTCTTCACTACATTGTTGCTACACCCTTCCCTGAAGGAGCTCAGGGTGGTATTACTTAGTCCTCCCCTACCCCCCAATTCCATCCTCACAACGACCTCATGAAGAGGTTAGGCTGAGAGAGAATGTGGTGGGTTCAGGATCACCCAGTGAGGGTTATGGTTCTAGGCTCACACCCCCTCTAGTCTGATTCGCTAGCCACTGCAACATACCGTCCAATCAGAACCTGGTATCTGGCATTCAGTAGGGTAGAGTCATAACAAACCTTTGCTGGATTAGGCGTGTGCAAGGGGTCATTTCCTGCGGGAGCGCACAGGAGCGGAGCTCCGGCAGTAAGGAGCCCAGGGGGCGGGCAATTGCAACAAGTCCCACCCCCTGCTCCCAGCAGCCCTCCGTCAGCCAGGAGGAGCAAGAAGCAGCCAGGTAAGTTGCAGAGCCCCCCAGCCCGCCTTCAGGTACAAGCTCTCCCTCCTCTGTGAGGGCAGATCTGCGCGTCCCCCCCCCCCATAGCTAGCAATCCAAAACAGTCCAGTGGAGCCTGAGCAGTGGGTGTTGCCTTCTGACACACTTCCGGTGATGTCAGGGGGTGTGGCATATGCAAATACGTTATGCTAATAAGTTATGCTAATGAGCTCCTGCACCTCTTTTTCTACAAAATGACCCCTGGGCGTGTGTGTGTGTGTGTGTGTGTGTGTTAAGAGCTGTCAAATCACTTCCGACTGATGGTGACTCTATGAATTAATGACCTCTGAAATGTCCCATAGTCAACAGCCTTGCTCAGGTCTTGCAAACTGAGGGTCGTGGCATCCTTGACTGAGTCAATCCATCTCATGTTGTTGTTGTTCAGTCGCACAGTCGAGTCCAACTCTTCGCAAACGCATGGACCAGATCACGCCAGGCCTTCCGGTCTTCCGCCGTCCTCTGAAGTTTGCTCAACTTCATGTTCGTTGCATCGATGACACTGTCTAACCATCTCATCCTTTGCCGTCCCCGTCTTCTTTGACCTTCAGTCTTTCCCAGCATCAGGGTCTTCTCCAGGGAGTGCTCCCTTCTCATTGGGTAGCCAAAGTATTTGAGCTTCAGCTTCAATATCTGGCCTTCCAGGGAACAGTCAGGGAATCCTTATTCCGTCCTTTTGGGGGAAACAAAAGTGTTGTTATTGTTCTTGACATATCTTTAACAAGAACAGACACTTTTTCTGGCCTTGAAATCAGAGGAGGACACCTCCAAAGGTTGCAGCAGATGAAGAATATTTCACAGGTTTACGCGATGCTCTTGCATTGGGCATAAGCACTTGGCGTACTGCTCTTGCCCTGGCCTGGATAGCCCAGGCTAGCCCAATGTTGTCAAGTCTTGGAAGCTAAGCAGGGTCGGCCCTGGTCAGTATTTGGATGGGAGACCTCCAAGGAAGTTGCAGGGTCGTGACACAGAGGCAGGCCATGGCAAAACCACCTCTGAACGTCTCTTCCCTTGAAAACCCTACGGGGTCACCATAAGTCAGCTGTGACTTGACAGCAGTTTCAACGACCCCAATGCTCCTGCATTAAGTATCAGCAGTGGGGGGATTTGGGACACTACCAAATTAAAACTAAAAGCACAAGAAAAACAGTTTAGAAAAGTTGTTTCCCTTGGAACCAAGCTTGCACATGAAAATAAAGAAAAGGGCTACCGAAGGTTGCACATATATAAAGCAATGTAGGCCATCCTAGACTTTCGGTAAACTGGATGACCATGACCTTTGGCCACTTTCCTTTATGTATATTGGTCATAACCATTCTCATGCTCTTTTACAAGATTATACTTTGGAAATTTCCCGAGTTAGGCTTTTTATCTTGGACAAGGCAAACAACAGAAGTGTCCTGGATTTACATATGTTTGAAGAGTACAAAGCAGTAAAACTAGCTTTCAGATCTGCTAGTGTTGTGGCTGCTCTTGCCAAGGCAAAAACCATATAAATCATTTTGAAAGAAGAGACTGGATAAGACTTGTCAGATGTCTTCTGGCAAGAGGCAGGTTTACAAAGCAAGTTGGGCTTTTTTCCAGTTATCATTTTCTTAGTTTAGTTTTGTATCCTGCCTCTTTCCTTCAAGGAAATCCAAAGAGAGTCTTGGAGACGTTCCCATTTTATCCTCACTGTGGGGTATATTAGACTGAGGAAGAGGCTGCTCTCCAGGAGTCATTTCCTGCAGGAGTGCACAGGAGTGGAGCTCCGGCAGTAAAGAGCCCAGGGGGCGGGGACATGCAATAAGCCCCACCCCCTGCTCCCAGCAGCCCTCAGTCAGAGCAAGAAGCAGCTAGGTAAATTTCAGAGCCCCCCCTGCCCCCTGGTCCAAAACAGTCCAGTGGCATCTTTAAGACCAAGTTTTATTCAGGTACAAGCTCTCCCTCCTCCGTGAGGACAGATCTGCATGTTCTCTCCCCCCCCCCCAATAGCTAGCAATCCAAAACAGTCCAGTGGAGCCTGAGCGATGGGTGTTGCCTTCCGACACACTTCCGGTGATGTCAGGGGGTGTGGCTAATGAGCTCCTGCACCTCTATTTCTACGAAATGACCCCCTTCTGCTCTCCAATTTTAAATTATATTGTGTTGGATCCAGTCATCTGTGGATGTGAAGGCAACAAATCTTCCCCACATTCTGTGTCTCCTTCCCAGCAGTTGATTCCTGGGGTTTCGGGGTCCATATGGATCAGAAGACATAAGGGTGGGGAGGCTGCACTGAGGAGAGGGGAGGGGCTGAAGTCATCCCCTCCTCCATCAGGGTAGCTTTGCTTATAGAAGAATCACGAACGGTGATTTCATTCATCCCACTGCATATTGCGGTCCCTGATGCACATGGACTAATAGCCATGTGGGGTCATGACCCTAGGAATGAACTTTCCTGTGGCTGGAAAGGACTCAAGGGAAACGAGAACACCGGGAAGATCCACAGCCTTCGGCTGGATCCAGTCTATTGAGTCTTGTTGGAAACAATCTAACACAACCCAAGCGATGGTGTGGCGGAGCGAGTGGAGTGTCGGACTAGGATTCTGGGAGACCAGGGTTCAAATTCTCACTTCTACCATGGAAACGTGCTGGGTGACCTCGGGCCCATCTCGTATTCTCAGCCTGACCTATCTCATAGGGCTGTTGTGGGAAATGGGAAAAGGGAGGATGACGTTCTAAGCGGCTTTGAATCCAGGTTGGGGAGAAAAATGGGATATCTCTCCTTATTATAAAAGGGATTTTGGGTGGCCTATGGGGTGGCGAGAGGAAATGCGCTCCCTCAGTCATTGGCCCGTCGGCTGCCACTCGGGGCAACTGGCATGCCATTGGCTGGAGGGGAGGGACGAGGCTAGCCGCCTTTGCACGCACGTTGCTCTATCGCTACGTGTGCCGCTCACTCGTTTGCTCGGTCGGCCGGTGGGGAGAGGGGTGAGGCCGGCTGCCTTGGCGTACCAGGCCCTTGAGCGGCTGGGAGGGCGAGGAAGGAAGCAGCCCACCTGGCTTGGCCCACCGCTGCTGTGCAGCGCTGTGGACGGGCGAGGCCTGCTGCCTTTGGCAACCGCCTCCTCCAGTGCACCCGGCTGGCTTGCCCCGCCGCCTCCAGCACACAGTGGGGGGAGGCATGAGGCTGGCCACTGAGGAGCCACCATGCTCTCCTTTACCACTGCGTTTGGGGGTCCCTCCAGTGGCCCCTCTCTAGGGCCCATTTCCTCTCTTCCCGCAATGGGCCTTGTGCCTAGTGAATAAATAAATGCAAAGGCAAATACAAAAATGCATGCTATCAAGAGAGGGAGAAATGGGGGGACATGGGACAGGGAACTGAAGGAGCCCCTCCAGACCAATTTAATGGGGTGGTAATGAGAAGGGAGCTGCGGTGGCTCAAGTGGTTAAGACGCTGAACTGCAGGCTGTGGAAGGTCAGTAGTTCAGCAGTTCAAGACCCGGGTGCCACATGACGGAGTGAGCTCCTGTTTCTAGTTCCAGCTCCTGCCAACCTAGCAGTTCGAAAGCAAGAAATTGCAAGTAGATAAATAGGGACCACTTCGGTGGGAAGGTAACAGCATTCCGTGCGCCTTGGTCTTTAGTCATGCCGGCCACATGACCACAGAAACGTCTTTGGACAGCGCTGGCTCTTCGACTTTGAAACGGAGATGAGCCACCCCCCTTGAGTCGGATTCGTCTGGCTTTTGGGCAAGGGAAACCTTTATATTTACTTAATGAGAAAGGGGGGCTTGACAAGAAAATAGCTACTTCCACTCATGATCTGAATCAACAGTACGTGGTGGTCGTGGAAATTGCCATCTAGTTGCAGCTGACGTACGGTGACCCTGTAGAGTTTGCAAGGCAAGAGATGTTCAGAGGTGGTTTACTATTGCCTGCCTCTGCGCAGCAACCCTGGACTTCCTTGGTGGTCTCCCATCCAAGTACTAACCAGGGCCGACCCTGCTTAGCTTCTGAGATCTAATGAGATCAGGCTAGCCTGGGGCATGCATAAAGGTATATTGGGCCCCAGAGACATTAGAAAGGGAAGGTCTGGCCCAAGGTGAGAGTGCTTCGTTCAGTATTGCTGTGCGTCCTGCATAGGGATCTGAACCCAGGTCTCCCCCATCCAAGTCTCACATCTTAACTACACCCCCCCTAAGTTTCTTCATGCATTTTTGGAATTTATAAGGAAGCTAACAAGAGTTTCAGGAAAACTGGTGGCATTCCTCCCAGTCACATGCTCACCTTTGTCCTCCTTTGCTTCTAGAGTCCATGAGCCACATCAGTGAAGATACCACCAAGTCAGACTTGGTGCTTCCTTCAGTCCATGTGATGGATCGGGGCAACTATACCTGCACAGCTGCCAATTTCCTCGGCAACGCCTCGGCCACAATCGTCCTGAATGTCCAAGCCCCCAGTGTGATGGCCTCTTCCTTCTCCTCCTCCTTCTCACGGGAGAACCCCTACATTGACGTGAGGATTGCCAAGCAGACAGTCTATGGGATCACGCTGGAGTGGTACACCGTGACTGAGAATCCAGAGTACACCCTCCATTTTGGGAAGTATGATGACGCCAAGAAGGAAACGATTTACATTGCCCCTGGCGTGAACAGCTACTCGGTCAATGACCTGCTCCCTGCCACCAAATATGAAGTGTGCGTGACTCTAAGGAACCAGATGTCTCAAAGAGGACAGTGCATTGTCTTTGTGACAGGAAATGACATCAGCGAATTGGAGCAGCGGGAGAAAGTCATCCACATAATCATTATCGTGTGCGCCATGGTACTGGCTGTCCCCGTGGGGATGTATGCCTGCACCACCGATACCCGGTTTAATTGCATGCAGAAGTGCCCCGACATCTGCCGCAAGAAGAGGAAAGCGAAAACTCTCCGAGGAGTCAACAAGGAGAGCACGTTCGACAGCTTGCCGACAGGTAGCGACGAGGGGTTGTGCCACCATGACTCCAGTGACAGCAAAAGAGATCTGGGGGTGTTTGAGGACAAGGAAAACAGCGGCAGACAGAAAATGGAGCACCGAAATAACGCCGATCTCTATTAGCCAGTCTCCCTGGACTGTGACGTGCTAGGCAAGAGGAAGTGCAAACACAGGCAAGTGCACTGGTGGTGTTGCATCAACAGCTTGGCGTGTGAAATGCACACATAATAAGACACTGTTTTCAAAAGGCCGTGGAACCACCCAATGCCTGTAGGTGGGCAGAATTATTGGTAGGCAATGACTTGTTCCGCTAGGAGCGATATGCCTCATTCAGTTGTCTAGCTGGGTTTTATGATTTATAAATTGGGGACCAGATTGATGGGACTGTAGAATGATCATGTAAGTTATCAACAATTAGTGTATGCCCGGAGATCCTCCATAGAAGTTCAGCTGCGATTTAGATTACCAGACTGCTCTGGGACTCCAACACACTGCTTGTTTCCTATTGCTATGGTTGCATTATTATTATTATTATTAAAAATTAATTGACCAGGAAGTTTCAGATATGTCATGGTGAAGGTAAGTGTTTAAGACCAGAAGGATCAGTTCAACTGGGTTTAAAAGAAGGAACAAATGGGGAATTGCGAATGGTAACACTGTGAACTGTTTGAATGATTGTTCACAGCAGTAGCTCATAAAAGATGGCACACTGTAAGACCGAGACTGTTCAAGGAACGTAAATGAAGAAAGTAAAATGTTCTGAGAAATATAAAGTTGTGCTTTATTTGCTTCCTCGCAAAAGCCTGTATCGAGCTTTTAGTGTCGGGGTCCCCGGCCTTCTCGGTGGGTGTTCCTTGTGGACTACGGGCTCTTTAGAAACTGATCTTGCTCCAGTGTGATAGGAGCAAGGTGGAGGAATGTGATAATAGGTCTTTGCTTCAAGAAAGAAGGAAGTGGAAGCCAGAAAACCTGTCACCAGGGACCACACTGGGGATCACTGTCTGGAAGTCGGTATGCATTGAACACATTGATACCTGAAGCTTATATTGCTTCAGACTTTTGGTTCCTCAAGGTCCATATTGTCTACTCAGGCCCCAGTCACACGGGCCAGATATCGCGGGGGGGGGGGGAGGTGTGGCTAATTGCCCCGGAGGAAACTAACGTGCGGCTGCCCGAGCACACATCCCGGTCGAGGTCCCGTGGTTCGGGGGAAATGCCGATCAGACAGGTATCCTGCAGCACGGCACAGAAGCCATGTGACATGATCACACTAGCAATCGCTCTTTGTGTGCATGCGCTGTTGGGCGCTGTTGCACAACCTGCGGAGATGAACAGTGGCGGGCGCCGGATGCCATGTAAGTCTACCGGGAATGCGATCAGATGCCTGCCCTTGGCCCGCGGTTTCAGGAAGCGAGTACCTCGTAGGTACTAGTTTTTAACTCCGCACTTTCGGCGGGGAGCCACGGGTTCGCCACGGGAGCACTGCGCTTCCCAGATGTTGGGGTGAGATCGCACCTGGAAAATCCGCAGGACTCCCGTGCCTCTCCCGCGACAACTTTGCCATGTGACCGGGGCCTCAGACTGGCAGTGTTCCTCCAGGGTCTCAGGCAGAGATTTTTCTCATCACCTACTGCCGTATCATCTAACTGGGGATACCAGGGATTGAACCTGGGACCGTCTGCATGCTAAGCAGCTTGTCTACCACTGATCCATGGCCTATCCCTATCGTAAGAACATATGAAGAGCCCTGCTGGATCAGACCAATAGTCCATCTAGTCCGGCATCCTGTCTCACACAGTGGCCAACCAGTTCTGTCTGTCCGGTTCAGTGGACAGATGCACTTCCACATTCACATCGACTGTGGTTATTATAGATGGCACTCGAAGGGATTAGGTGGAGGTGGGCTGTTGGCCCTGATGGAAGCATCTGATCCGGCTCTGCTGGAAACAGGATGCTGGACTCGACGGAGCCTGGGGCTGACCCTGCAGGACTCTCCTCGTGTTCTTACTAATCTCCGTCACTGGCACGAGGAGTCCCATTTTAACTAAGCGCATTTATTTTAGTCGCTCTGGTGTGATTGCGTGGGTGGTGGCTTCATCGACGCTGCCAAAAAGGGGGCCACTGTTATTTTAAGGACAGTGGCAGCACGGCAGAGGCTGAAAACTTAAAGCACCAACAGGCTGAGGTGTCTCATTGGCTTCAATAAAGCTGTCTTCACTAATCTTGTTTTTCTGCTGCTCGCGTGTGTCTCTCTCTCTGTGTGCAAAGTGCCATCAGGTCACAGTCAACTCACAACAATCTCACAGGGTCAACAGATGTTCAGAAGTCGTTTGCTCTTGCCTGCCTCTGTGGAGCAACCCTGGTGTGCTGTCTTGGCTGGCTGCCACAGAGACCACACACTGGAAGCTTGTAAGCACAGTCCAAAATCCAGGTCAGTCAGAGCCAAAAGTCAATTCAAGGTTGCAAGAACAAGGAGCGGCTGCAGGCTTCCCAAGTACTTACCGTGATTTGGCGGGGGACACAGACGTCCTCGCAGGGTCATTCCTGCGGGGACAACAGACACGCCGCACCATGCCGTCGCCAGGAAGTGATGCTGGGCGACGCTCTGGCAATGGGGCTGTAAACTCGATGGTACCATCGAGTTTTCAGTCCCATTGCCAGAGCGCCGCCCGGCGTCACTTCCTGGCGACGGCATGGTGTGTTAGAGGGAGGAATGGTCCAGCCGGGGAGCATGTTTCCCCCACTGGATCACGGTAAGTACTTGGGAATCCTAAGCAGCTGCTACACACAAGCAGGAGCAGGTCTGAGTGAGCAAAGCTGCTGCCAGGTTGAACCAGGTGCACTGAGTGCTTTTGAGCAGGTCCTTCCTTCCCTGGGGTTGAGTCTGCAAAGGCTTACAGCTCTGCCCTCTGCCTCTGCAGGAGCTGCAGCCTGGCACTCCTTCTTCGCTCCTGCATAGTCTGCCTCTGGCGTGCCCTATGTCTGGGGCACTCAGGAGAACTAGGCCTTGGGGAGTCTGGCCTTGGGGTGTCTGCAACTGGGGGTGCTGGGCCAGGCGCACGATCGGCCTCTCCTTCTGGCTGCACCTCCTGTGCAGCTGCTGGGGACTCTTCCTCCTCAGGTATAGTTGAGGGTTCTTCTTCTGGGCTGACTTCAGAGGAGGCTGGGCTGCTCCCGGCCTCTTCCTCATCTGTGGAGTAGTCAGCCTCAGCAGGCCTAGGACCCACGGAACCTGGACTTCCTTGGTGGTTTCCCATCTGAGTACCAACCAGGGCCAAACCTGTTTGACTTCTGAAATCTGCTGAGATCAGGTTTGCCTGGGTAACCCAGGCTGCTTAATAATAGTAAAATGTGTGTATATGTTTGTGCACGTGTGTGTTCACCCATATTCACAATGCCCAGGAAAATTAGATGTGCATTCACACGGACTCCCTCATGCTGTACATTACAATCACAGACAGAATCAGGAATCCTTAGGTCTTTTGAAATCAGTGGGCTTAAATGCAACAACCATTGTTCTGGATTGGGACCATAGTGCGTGCCACCACCCACAGAAGGGAATAATTTATTTGCAGATATCCATGCCTGTAGTAGCTGCACCTTTGTTCCATCGTGCAACTGAAGGCATTATACGAAGGCTTCCCAGGTGGTCCATCATCCAGACATGGACCAGAAGCACTGCTCACCTTCAGCAAGGTTACCATATCATGTGCCAGCCAAACAGATCCTGAAAGATGGAGAACTCATGCCACTTGCTGCACTCAAAGTCTCATGAATTCGATGGGGACAAGTCTGGCTCATTTTTTAAAATTTAAATTAAATTTTAAATTTAAATTAAATTTTAATTTTAAAAATGAGAATGATTTTAAAGCCAAATTCTTTATGAAGTAGGAGACACATGAAATGTTTCCAACCATGTTTCCACTTTGTGATGACCACAGAGAGCTCCCTATTTGATTGGAGAATTGGGGGTGAGGGTAGGAAGAGACAGTGAGTGCTTAACCTTTACCTGCAGACTGTTTTTCTGATTGCGATACCCTCCCCGCCCCCCCAAAATTGTGGTCCTCTTTGTCCCCCTAGTATTAGATATTTGGGGATCTAAAGGAGTTGCTGGGTGAAGGGGAAGGAGTAGACCAGACCCATTACACTGATTAATATATACATTTTATACCACTTTTCTCCACACGTGTTCTCAAATCAGTTTACGCATACATATAAGACACACGAGAACGTCCCCTCGCCAATGGCATGGGGAATAACGTTTATCTTGAACTGGGATGAATCCAGCCACTCTCTTTCCACGTGTGAGGACAGGTTCTCTTCTTCTTCACAACAACTAACCCAAGCTACCAATCCAAGTCCTGAGAAGATCCTCTGTAGGGTCCAGAAGACTGGCGAGAACCACAGGAAAAAAGCTGCATGCTTGGTAGATCTTCTCCATTCTCTTTCATACCGTTTGAGATGATTGAACCGAGACTGACTGCTTACTGTCTTGGTATTTGCTCACAAAGGCAGCTAATCTTGGGATCGGTTCCTGAGAACACTTCTTTGGTAGGTGCTGCTGACTGTGTAGGCACACAAGGAAAAGAATGCAACCTACCTATCTCCTCCCCTTACTTTCCCCAGGCACTTGCCAAGGCAGAGATATCTGAATCTTTGTCATCACGGATGTTTCTCAAATGTCCCCAAATGTCCTTCCCTTCCCTTTCCAGAACTCCTCTGATTAACAGATCTTGAGCAATGACTAGAAGAAAACTAAATTAGTCCCTAAAGAAAAATACAACAGACAGGAATTCAGCAACCAGTAGAGTTATATTCAGATCACTGTCCAGCATCAGATAGGAAGAAGAAGAGGAGGAGGAGGAGGAGGTGGAGATTGGATTTATACCCTGCCCTTCACTACCCGAAGGAGTCTCAGAGTGGTTTACAATCTTTTTTCCCTTCCCCTCCCCACAACAGACACCTTGTGAGGTAGCTGAGGCTGAGAGAGCTCTTTTGAGAACTGCCCTTCACAGAACAGCTCTGAGAGAGCCATGACTGACCCAAGGTCACACCAGCAGCTGCATGTGGAGTAACGGGGAATCAAACCCGCTTCTCTCAGATTAGAGTCCGCGCTCCTAATC